TATATATATACATATACAGTATATTGCTTTTTTTCCCTCTATATGCATCAGTTACCCACATGACAGGCGATGAAAAATGAACAGCGGTATAGAAAGGAAGCTGATTTGACATTCAATTTGCAATTTCATTGTCCTTGGTTTAATGAATTACCAGCACTGTGTTTGATTTTCATGAATAACCTTCGTGCTCATTCTCAGTTGTTCAACACTGCAGATGAGTTAAGTCATTTTTTATTCCGGCTTGTGTTACATTGCGATCTATCCCTCCAGAAATAGGGCTACATTATTCATCCTGTGGTGTATGTGATTTGACCACAGAGTTTCTGAGCAGCGCTGTTAAATGAAAATATTTCACGTGTGAATTAATCATTAAAAGGATTCGTTCTCCATTCTTCTGGTAGCATAATGATCCCTTTTCCAATGCTGGCCTGGATGAATCTTTCATTGTCTTTATCTTTAAATGTGCAATCCACCAAGGAGACGAGGCCCGCGATGTGTTTCCTCAGCGCCATCAAAGTTAACATGTAGCTGAGCTAAATGCCATAATTTAATTGATGTCAACTTTAATAACATCCACAACTGATCTTGTAATAATACAGAGCTATATTTAGTACCCTTTTAATTCAATAGGAGATTGTCTTTTTAATATGCAAATATGAATTTGTACACTTACAGGCTGAAACAAAAGTAGACAATAGACAATACTTTGGACTTCAGTCTTTAAAATCCCTTTTGACCTCTGGATTTAAAGACTTAAAGCTAAACCACTGCCATCCTCTTCTTGGCTTTCTTGGCTTAAACTATCATTTTGTGCCAAACTCTTTTGTTCTATTTTTTTCGTTTTCTTTTTATTTTAATCCTCTGGATCATTTTCTCCTTTTCTTTAGGTTTCTCCATACTTCAGGCCATCATGGAGGCAGCCGTAGCAAACAACTGGCAGGTGACTGCTCGCTCTGTCAGCAGCACAACAGATGCCACAGAGTTCAGGCGCATCATCGAGGAGATGGACAGGAGGCAAGAGAAGCGCTACGTGATCGACTGCGAGGTGGACCGGATCAATACGATATTAGAACAGGTGAGTGTGGCTCTTCACGTGAGGTCAGGCATGTGTTTGTGATACCGCACTGTGCACATAACCCTATCCCATTGCCAGCGCTAAAAGGAATAGTTTGTATTTTATCCAGTGGGGTTCTGTGGAAGGATTATGATGAGTCATCATCTTAGGTAGTAGTTTGGAGAAATAAGATTAGTTCTGAATGAACAGTTGCACAAAGACAAAATTTTAAAAGCAATTTATACAAATGCTATTTTATAAACTTTTACATCACTGTGCAATTCAGTTAWTCCATCACAAATGTGATATACTTATTATAAGTGCCTCAGTTTGCATCAGAAGCGCTACAGCTGGCTGCCACTGCAGCGATTTGTGCTTGCAAGTAAGCATACACTCAAAAAACAGATAAAATGGATTGAATAATTTTAACTGGTTCCACTCAAATGAATTGAGTAATGCTTTTACTTTACATTTTTATTTTATCGTTGTTTAACCAGGCAAACCCCATTGAGATCGCAGATCTATTTTTCAAGGGCAGCCTGACCCTGAAAGCAACCTTTTGTACATATTTTTGTGTTGTGCGGGAAACTGGGGTACCCGGAGAAAACTCATGCAAGCACAAATATAACATGCAAACACCACACAGAACGAACCCAGGTCCGAATTGGGGATCGGACCCAGGACCTTCTTGCTGTGAGGCGTTGGTGCTAACCACTGAGCCATGCTGTACATGTACTACCCTTATTCAGTTCAGTTGAGTGGAACCAGTTGACATGTTWTTGTTTTAATTAAATACACCACATCTGTTTTTGGAGTGTAGATTCACATTTAGCTAACCAATAACGTATTCTAGCAASTACCTATAGATTTATATGTACTGTAGATAATGTAGGGGTGTCCAGATACCAGTTTTCCTCAAAGTACCAAAACAAGTTCTTGCCATTACCAAGTACAGATACAGATTATTTACTAAGTTAGAACCTAATCATTAAACAATGACTTTAAAAAATATATTTATTTTATTTAGAGCAATGTGGCTCTCCGTCCTCAAGTCTACACCCCCTGACTGGACCAAACGAAATATACAGCATGATATATACTAGGGAGGCACGATATATCAGCATTAATATCGGTATCGGTCCGATATGTATAACTGGGCTGATACTGTTTTAACGTCTGATATTGATTTCCCAATTTTTAGCTTTATTTTCTGTTTTTGGGAGGGGAGATGGTTGGTTGAGCAGCATCAGTTTGATCACGATAGTGATACTGATGCTGCACAACCAGGAATAACTGAAGTAGTGCCATGTCAGAGGTCTGGTCATTTATTTACGGTGTCAAAAAAAAAGAACCAAGTGTGTTTGTGCGTATATGTATAATATAATTTGTGTGTTTGTGTAATATCGGTAAATATCGGTTATCGGCCATAACAGCAATAATTATATCGGATATCAATATGGGCTGAAATTTTCATATCGGTGCATCCCAAAAATATACTGTTGTAACCTTTTGAAATTAATATTTTCGTTCAACTTGTATAAATTTCTTAAACATGACACTTGTCACTTTAAAAGTAAACTGCAACACACTCAATTGAGTATTAATACCAGTATTCCAGTACTGATACTAGTGGTTCTGGGTATTGGTGCATTTTGTATGAATACTTGTAAAAATGCTGGTATCAGGCTCAATACTGAATATCTGGATACCATTATCAGTTTAGGAACACTATTTGGATAATGCACTAACGCAAAAATGGTAGTGTTTGTGTGAAAACAAAACATTGAGGATTGGAGTTGTTTTAAGTTTTGGCTCTCCTTGGACTAGAAAGCCATCTCTGATCAGTTAGATACTGACTGCTCAAAACCTCTCCCCAGAACTCCACTTCAACAAATCCGACCTGTTCCCTTAAGCTAATTTAATAACATTAAAAAACATGAACTAGAGTGTTACTTTTACTTGTACAGGCAACTTTTTTTGACATGTGAGGTTTTCTGCAGTGAAGCTGGAATAGTCTCTGGCTGAAGACGCGCTGTTATTTAATCAGTTTCTGCTACACAGGTTTGTGCATCTTTGTCCAGTTTGCTGAGAAGATTGGGCAACTTTCCTTCTTTCACGATCTGCTTCAGAGCAGCACAGATGCAGCCTTCTTTATCAGTTTGTTCCATTTCTTTGAGTCACTGTCATGCTTATCAGAAATGGAAGGTCCACCACAGCCCTGTAGGAATGACCAGCGCTATCCTGGCCTGTTGTAGCAGTCTGCCAGGTTGTCTGCTGGGAGGAATAATTGGACTGGAATGTATGGTGCCAGCACATTGGGGACGAATGTGCTGCTTCTTGCCATCGGAACAGAGTCAGTCACCTTATTTTAAGGGAACGCTCACATTTATGAAATCCTAGTAATAGTAGGGTATTGTCAAAACCAATCGCCGGACAGATTTTCTGCATGCATTTTCACAGCAAACTGCTTTATTTTTGCTGTTTCACATTGATCTTGCATATCAGAAATCAGCCCCTTTTCACTATGCTTTTGGTCAGGTTGGTGTTGTTTGCCATTTTGCCTGAAACTCTGAAGCAGCCTGACGTGGAGAGGTCTCAAAGTGAGCAGCCTTTTGAAGAGACCACGAATGCTGCATTCTGTTTAATCCCTCCCTAACAGCCCACAAAGCCCCTTCGTTCCTCTATCACGTCGACTGCCCGAGGAGCAAATGAAGGTCCACCAGTCCTTGTAGGGGAAACACAATTACCACAAATAGATGAGTGGCTGTTTGTTTCGTGCATCTCCTCGCTTTGCCTGCCTCTCTCCACCCCATGACCCCCGCTTGTTGTTGCCTGCTTATAAGGCAATCAKTTCCAGAATTGGATTCTGCTCGTTAGCATTCATTTAGATATTGGCTTCTCTTTGAATCACAATATCCCCACGACGGCTCATATTTTCACTTTTTTTTTCTCATGAATCTAATTTGATCCCAGAGTCATAGTTTAAAGCAGGATTGCTGTTAGTATTAATTTGCTGTGTCTAATTTAATTCTTGAGCTGCAAATTTCCCCCTCCTAGGAATAGGCTGAAATGTATTCAGGTTTTGTGTTCACAACAAGCATCAGCTTTTAGGAAAACCTTYAAATATTYGTAACAAAATCACGAGTAGGGCATAATAATAGCTACGTCTGTTTCTTCTCTGTAATCCGGTTGATGTTCTTCTGTTCCAGTCTGTGTAGTCATTATGATTTACTTTTTTTTCTGTGAACGTTTTTCTTTTTCACCCTTCAGATTAACATCATTACCATCATCTAATTTACTCTAAATATTGTTTATAGCAATTAGAATTAAAATATTGTTTCTACAGCAGCTAACCTTCAAAGCAGCAGTGTGTTTGTTTTATCCTTTCTTTTTTTTTCTTTTTTTTGTGACAACCTCAGCGTGGGACTTTGTTTTTTTCCTTTTTCTGGAGCTAATTGGAATAATCCGGGCAGCTCTGCCAATATAAATGAGTCACAGCCATTCAGGGAAGCTGCTGGACATCTCTCTGAAGCTGCCCCCTATCGKGCAACGCCATTATACAGCAAGTCAGGAATGGGCCTTGTCCCATTAGGAAAATCACACCAAAAATGGCCCCCACTGTCAGCCATGTGGAGACCCTGCGGCTCCGACCTGCTGCYGCGCCTCTATTAAGTAACGATTGTAGACAGATACAGATTCATCTGTGGCAGACAGGTGGGGCGGGTTTAAACATGCGAGGCCATTGTGCCGCATCCTAACGCTGACATGCAGCTTTAGTCCGTCAAGGTCACAGCCCATTCAGAAAGAATCAAAACAGATTCAGCGGGCTGACTGGCGAGGGGAAAAGGAAATCTTCTCAGTGGCTCAGTTTAAGGATTTAATTGTGAGTAATCCCACAGCACAGCGATTGTTTTTCATCCCAGCTGATGGAGCTTGTGAAGTGTRGAGATATCCTGAATAGGCAAGCTTTGAGCTTGCAGAATGTGGAACAGTTGTTCCACAAGAGAAATAAATTAACAAAATTCTGGGCTGCACTTTGCTGGCAAAACTTATGATCCACTTGCTGCTTTTGAGTATTTTAGTTTTGTACCAAAGTTGTGTTAAGGATAACTAGTCAGCAAACAACAAATTGTGAAAAATGTTATTGACATAAACTGATTTATTTAAGCAATGCTTTTTGGTTTTAATAATGAGTGGGTYGGGTACACACTAGACAGGTCTCAAGTCCTTCACATTGACACAGAGACAAACAACCATTCACTCTTTCAGTCACCCAGAGAAAACCCAGAAAATAAAACCCATGCCTGCATGGAGAGAACATGCAAACTAGGGGTGGGGCCACAAGGGCATCGGCCCTAGCTGAAATCTTATTGCTCACCAAAGTGTCCCCGTCCTGTCGCTCATCTGTCCTTTGTCCAAGAGCAATGATGGTGRATGCAGTTCCATGTCTGAACACTAGAGGTGCTAATAAGTCAAATAGGAAAGTCCAGCATGAATCAAGCTTACAAAAGTCGTCTTCTCTTCTTAAGAAGACTTGAACAATCTTGCAGAAAAAGTCTTTCTACTGACAAAAAAATGACTGGATTTTCTTGGTGTGTTTGTATTTTATCTATGTACAGTAAACATGTATGTAAAACTGATGAGGAGAATTTACTGTACAAGCTTTTTTTAAATTACATTACATTACAAGTGTTTGAATATGTGTGAATTTGTGTGCAAATATGTTGAACAAATTCTTGGCCCCTCTACGACTTTTGTGGCCCCTTGACGGCCCTTTACTCAGAAAAATCCTGGATCCGCCACTAATGAAAACTCAAGCCAGAAAGGTCTCTGGCCAGGATTTGATYCAGAAACCTTCTTGCTGAGAGGCARCAGCTCAACTGAACCACCGTGCCATCAACAATCAACAAATATGGCCATTTTGGCGATGCACGACATGCTGATACGTTATTGGTGACAGATGCTGACATTTTACAATAAATTTAGCCCAATAGCTTATGTTGATTATAGATCCGATTTGA